GATCTACTCACTATATACTCCTGTTTAGTTGTCTCATAAGATCTACCCACTATATAGTCCGGTTTAGTTGTCTCATAAGATCAACTCACTATATACTCCTGTTTAGTTGTCTCATAAGATCTACTCACTGTATTGTCCTGTTTAGTTGTCTCATAAGATCTACTCTCTATATACTCCTGTTTAGTTGTCTCATAAGATCTACTCACTATATACTCCTGTTTAGTTGTCTCATAAGATCTACTCACTATATAGTCCTCTTTAGTTGTCTTCCAAATTCAGCTCAGTTATATCTACTCACTTTATAGTCTGTTCGGTTTCTGGTTGACAACATCTTTGTCGAGTTCGGCGCTAAGACCTTCCAACAGACTGTTTGAATACCGATGGGAACGAACTGTGTCCCTCTTTTGGTTGATTTGCTTTTGTTTTCGTACGAGGCTGAATTCATCGACAAGCTAATTGAAACAGGTGACTAAGACGTTTACAGTCACTTTCAGATATATCGATACATCTTGTCTTGTCAAGGATATGACAGACTCTTCTACATCAGCAGCATATTTCGATCATGTCCTACCCTTCAACGAAACCAGATGGAAAGCTTTGATAAGCTGTTTGATAAGCATTCAATTTCCCTATCGTGAATTTTTTCCCATTTCTAAATAGCAACATTCCTGCATCCACAACCTATGGTGTTTACACAACATTTTAATTCTATATTCAAGGGCCAGCTCCTATTATCAGGATTTTTTGTGCAGAAGACGTCAACTTCCGGACAAAATCGCGATACAGAGTTCTTATTCTTGATCTTATTCTTCTAATGCTCTTCTAGTGAGTTACAGTGCAGAACTTTCTTTTGTTCATATTTTACCCGAGTTGTTTTGGATTTGAGTTTGGAAGGTTACTCTGTTGAAATGATGGTATTTTCTTCTTAATTTTTAATTGTTTATTCACCCAAGGTCTACTCAATGTACACTGCTATTTAGTTGTACCAGTCTCCATAGTCTGTATATAGTTTTATTAAGTGGCCTTGTTCCCTAAGGTCTACTCAATGACAATGCTATTTAGTTGTTCCTGTCTCCATAGTCTGTTTATAGTTCTATTAAGTGACCTTGTTCCCTAAGGTCTACTCAATGACAATGCTATTTAGTTGTTCCTGTCTCCATAGTCTGTTTATAGTTCTATTAAGTGGCCTTGTTCCCTAAAGTCTACTCAATGACAATGCTATTTAGTTGTTCCTGTCTCCATAGTCTGTTTATAGTTCTATTAAGTGGCCTTGTTCCCTAAGGTCTACTCAATGACAATGCTATTTAGTTGTTCCTGTCTCCATAGTGTGTTTATAGTTCTATTAAGTGGCCTTGTTCCCCAAGGTCTATTCAATGACAATGCTATTTAGTTGTTCCTGTCTCCATAGTCTGTTTATAGTTCTATTAAGTGGTCTTGTTCCCCGAGGTCTTCTCAATGTAGACTGCTATTTAGTTGTTCCTGTTTCCGTAGATCTGTATATAGTTCTATTAAGTGGTCTTGTTCCCCAGGGTCTACTCAATGACAATGCTATTTAGTTGTTCCTGTCTCCATAATCTGTATATAGTTCTATTGAGTGGTCTTGTTCCCCAGTGTCTACTCAATGTACAATGCTATTAAGTTGTTCTTCCGTTTACAATGGTATTTACTTTCAACTATTTCCCAATGGCAACTCACTGAACAAATGCGGCATTTTGTCCGCCAAGCTGTACTCAAGTTTTGTTCTCCTTGTTTCTACCTCTTTGTTTCATGTTTCCGCTATTCTAATTACTATGCTGATCTAAAGCTGCACAAAGTCTAGGATGTGCATGGCAAATTTTCTAGCAAACAGCACTATCTACATTTCCTTTTTGTATTAAGCATAAAAATACATAGATTATGTGTTGTTTTTATCATAATTATTGAAAAAATGTCAAACTTAACTTTGACCTGCTGAACATACAGACTATATGACGGGACCGTTTAATACTACGCCCTGTCACAGATGTTTGAAAGAATAATATCATGCTGCACCTCGTTTTAAACGAATGATTGATGAGAAATGTTTCCTTTTTCTTATTTACTTATATCACAGTTTACTTATCTAACCTCTATTACACTGACGCAGCGTAATACACTTTACACATCAATCAGCGTGGTTGTATATCATTTATGGGGCAAATAGAAAAGTTTCATCCTTACTAATTATTTTATAACTATAAGAGCATTATGTAGGATTAATATATTTATTTTTTAAACTCCGAGAATATACATGTTGTTGATTCTCAATTTACTACCCAACAAGAGAAATGTTAGCATTTCTAAATTTACAACCCAGCTAGAGGCATGTTAACGTTTTCTAAATTTACAACCCAGCTAGAGGCATGTTAGCATTTCTAAATTTACAACCCAGCGAGAGGCATGTTAGCATTTCTAAATTTACAACCCAGCGAGAGGCATGTTAGCATTTCTAAATTTACAACCCAGCGAGAGGCATGTTAGCATTTCTAAATTTACAACCCAGCGAGAGGCATGTTAACTTTTATCAAATTACAGCCCAGTGGGAAGCATAGTAACGTTTCTAAATTTACAACCCAGCGAGAGGCGTGTTAAAATTTCTAAATTTACAATCCAGTGAGAGGCATGTTAAAATTTCTAAATTTACAACCCAGCGAGAGGTGTGTTAAAATTTCTAAATTTACAACCGAGTGAGAGGTGTGTTAAAATTTCTAAATTAACAATCAAGTGAGAGGCGTTTTAAAATTTCAAAATGTACAATTCAGTGAGAGGCATGGTGACGTTCGTCTGTTTACAACCCAGCGAGCGGCATGCTTCCGGGACTAAATTTACACCGCGAAAGGCAAAGTAATGTTTCCCACTTTACCGCCCAGCGAGAGGCGTGTTAACGTTTCACAATTTACAACAAACGAGAAGATATTATCGTATCTAAATTTACAACCAAGCGTGAGGCGTGGAAAAAGTTCTGAATTTATAACCCTGATAGGGACATGCTTACGTTTGTCAATTTACAACATAGCAAGAAGTATGTTAACATTTCAAACTTTACAATCCAGCTAGAGGCATGTTAGCGTTTTTCAAATTACAATCCAGCTAGAGGCATGTTAGCGTTTCTCAAATTACAATCCAGCGATAGGCATATTAATGTTTCTCATTTTACAACCCTGCGAGAGGCATGTAAACGTTTCTCAATTTACCGAGCAGCCAGAGGCATGTTAACGTTTCTCAGTTTATCGCCCTGTCAGAGGTATGTAAACGTTTCTCAGTTTACCGTCCAGCCAGAGGCATGTAAACGTTTCTCAATTTACCGTCCAGCCAGAGGCATGTAAACGTTTTTCAATTTACCGCCAAGTCAGAGGTATGTAAACGTTTCTCAATTGACCGACCAGGCAGAGGCATGTAAACGTTTCTCAATTTACCGTCCAGCCAGATGTATGTAAACGTTTCTTAATTTACCGCCCAGCCACAGGCATGTAAAGTTCCTGAGTTTACCGCCCAGCCAGACATATGTAAACGTTTCTAAATTTACCGCCCAGCCAGAGGCATGTTAACGTTTCTAAATTTACCGAGCAGCCAGAGGCATGTTAACGTTTCTCAGTTTACCGCCCTGTCAGAGGTATGTAAACGTTTCTCAGTTTACCGTCCAGCCAGAGGCATGTAAACGTTTCTCAATTTACCGTCCAGCCAGAGGCATGTAAACGTTTCTCAATGTACCGAGCAGCTAGAGGCATGTAAACGTTTCTCAATTTACCGCCCAGCCAAAGGCATGTAAGCGTTTCTCAGCTTACGGCCAAGTCAGAGGCATGTAAACGTTTCTTTTAAGCACATTGTCTTATCCTCCTTGTACCTTTCCATAACTCTCCGTGTAAATCTTTCTTTGGCCCATATTTTGTCCCAGTTTTATGGAATTCGAGTTTGAATTATGATTGTGTTGACATGATGCTATTTTCTTGATTTTGTTAACTAACCATCTAAAGCCATGTTAACATTTCCTAGTTTACAACTTAATGAGAGGCATGTTAATATTTCTCAACTTAAAACTCAAAGAAACTCTTGGTGACGTTTCTTTTGATGACTGACCCAGTGAAACGTATTCTTTTGTTACGACCCTGTAAGACATTTGGGCACTTCTCGTGTTACGACCCTGTAAGACATTTGGGCACTTCTCGTGTTACGACCCTGTAAGACATTTGGGCACTTCTCGTGTTACGACCCTGTAAGACATTTGGGCACTTCTCGTGTTACGACCCTGTGAGACATTTGGGCACTTCTCGTGTTACGACCCTGTGAGACATTTGGGCACTTCTCGTGTTACGACCCTGTGAGACATTTGGGCACTTCTCGTGTTACGACCCTGTGAGACATTTGGGCACTTCTCGTGTTACGACCCTGTGAGACATTTGGGCACTTCTCGTGTTACGACCCTGTGAGACATTTGGGCACTTCTCGTGTTACGACCCTGTGAGACATTTGGGCACTTCTCGTGTTACGACCCTGTGAGACATTTGGGCACTTCTCGTGTTACGACCCTGTAAGACATTTGGGCACTTCTCGTGTTACGACCCTGTAAGACATGATATAAGTTCTTGTGTTACGGCCTAGCGAGACATGCTGATATTTCTCGAGTTACAGCCCAGTAAGGCATGTGGACATTTCTAGTTTTACGACCAAGCGCGACATACTGACATTTCTCGAGTTACAGCCCAGTAAGGCATGTGGACGTTTCTAGTTTTACGACCAAGAGAGACATGCTGACATTTCTCGAGTTACAGTTTCAGTTCAAGGAGTATGATATTTCTCGTGTAACGACTAAGCCAAAAGACATCTTACAAAAAACGTAAAGTTTTATGCCTAAAAGAAGGAACTACAAATAACGGGAGCCGTTTTTTAACATCTCAGCTTTATCATACATGTCCTGATAATGCACACAATAATCGCTCCTTGCTAATTTCACATGATAATATCATTCGTTTTTTTTATTGCAGGCCTACCAATGTGCCGGGAAGTGCTTTTTCCCGTTCAGTGACTACCTATCTCCTACGAAACACTCTATAATACAAACGCTTCTGAATTCTAAAAACCCTAAGAAGGCAAGTAGAGCGTGTTGTGTTCCAACAAAACTGGATTCTATTTCTATTCTTTATGTGGATGAAATGGGAGTTGTAACTTTTAAGTACACATATGACGGAATGGTAGTTAAGGAATGTGGCTGCAGGTAACACCAAGAAAAGATAGTGAGAGGACGTGACCACAGGTAGCAATAAAGAACATGTTTGCATGTTGCTGTCAGGAAATGGAAGCGAAGAGTATGACCACATGTAGGATCAGGAGATGTGATTGCAGATGATTGCAGTTGATTTACTCCAGGAAACAGATTTAAAAGGTGATGTTCACATGTGAGCACAAGCAGCTATACTATAACATATGTAATCAAGGCGTTTGGTCACAGGTAGCAAAATGTGTGACGGGATGTGTTATCAACAGATATGGCCGTACGTGACATCAAAGGAGCGCATGTGATTCATACGCAGGATCGTGGCTTTTTAAGCTGTACTTCTTCAAAATGTGTTTAAAACATTTAGATATTCACAACATTTGTTATAAAAGGTATATACAATAAGGAGACTTATGCTGTGGAAGTATTTGCTATTTTTCTTTACTCAGGTGTGTTGAATCTTTCTTACAAATTATTCGATCCGCATTTCAACAAATGAAAGAATCGAATTAAATAAAGAGGATGGAAGTCATGTAAACGAAATAACATGACAAAAACTAGCAAAAAACGAGACAGAATTTCAAAAAGTTTGTTATACTCCGTAACAAAAACCGACATAGAACTTACTTATAGAGTATAGAGGACAAACGCAACAATCAAGAATAGTACTGATATTTGTGCCATTTTTTTATTCTCTATAAGACACACACATTAATATTGCACATATGTGCTACTAAAATGTGAGAAACTAGCAAATATGTTAAAACACAAAACTTTCCCTTCAAGAAGCGTTTTTTTTCTTTGTAAATAATACGACTGTGACTAATTTGTTGGCTATTTACTTGTTTTCAAACACCATTCTGTTTACATGAGGACAAGTTTGGAGTGTAGAATATGATTATATGGTAAACCTGTCCTTTCTTGTCTTTTATACAGTATTCAGTGCGATACTATTGAATATCTTATGTAAGATTTTGAATCAAATTTGATTTCGATTTAATCTTTTTTTTGTTTCGACATTTTATCCAAACCCGCAAGACTTGAACCAAAACTGCATGTAAAAATGTATAAGACATATTTAATGGTTTTCCCTTTCAACATTACAGTGTAAAGCCAGTAATATATTCGTGGGGTTATAATTTGGTTGATTCGTGGTTGCACTAAACCCACGAATTTGTTTGTCCGAGAAATGATAAACAGATAAAAATTGACAGGCATCCTAATGCTTGTTGGCTTTGCGAGCAAGATTTATTCAAGAAACTAAGGGACAACGAAAATGCATTAATGTCACAGTATGAATTTACAAAAGTATGACAGAATATCTATGATTTTCACGAGTGTAGTAATGATATGTAAGTTTTCATCAAATTGGTAAATTCCTATATCTCACAAAAAAAAATGTAACAAAACTTTTTATGTCTTCGTGTGATTTTAGGTTTAGTCTTATTCTGCTATATATATATATATCATAAGCTTTAAACTTTTTTTCCAATTTAAACAGTGTAAGTTAATGATTAAAGTCAATTGGCACCTGAGGAATACCCCGTAACCCAATAAAATTGTGACCGACCCTGATATAATGTTACAAGTGTTAACAAATGTTCTCGTTGTTATGATCATGCAAGTGTACGTTTCAATGTTATACATATTTATAATTTGTTACATATTATCTATATTTCATTTTATATATCTTTATGTTATATGTCATCACATTTTTAAAAATAAAATCAGTTTTTACTTTCGATATCCTCAGCAGCTCTCCCAAAATAATGTCCGGCCAAAAAGAAGTACTACTGGGATTGGTATGTTTTGGTATATTTCTGTCCCTTACAAACACGGAAGGTTATACCATTAATCTCTTTATTAGACCTGATTTGACTTAGCATAACACAAGGGTCATATACCGACCTCTAAATACGTATGTGGTATAATGTGACAATAATTTTCAAAATCATATAATATTCAAGCCTTTATAATACAACATAACAATAGACTTGACACCATACTTTGAAATGTTGTGTTATTGGTGGAATTATTTCCAGCTTTTGTATATCTTTCATTTAATCGTATGTGCCTTCCTGATACTAAACAAGGTCAAGGTCGGTATGTTTTTTTGATTTATATGTTTTGGGCTAGTGTGAGTAACATTACTTCACATGATATCGACCATGTCCAAGAATCAGGTAAAAAGTGGCTACAGAATTAGAGATGTTCCGTCTCTACGTAATAATAGTTATGGTATAAAAAGGGTAATGATGTAACAGAAAAAAGTACAATATCCATAAAAAAATTTACTGAACAAAACATTGTCGATAGGATTTTATTGAAGAGCAACTGTATAATGTAAGATATTAAAAACTTCATTAAATATGTACATTTTAATAAAAAGAAAAATAATCAACACAGAAAAACAAATAGATCATTATCTATACGGAACGAATGATAAACGTTCTTTTACCATGCAAATTCACAATCGAAATACTGCGAACAACCACCTGTTAACGCCATAATCTGCGATAATAATAATAAGCGAGACACTAAGTCGAAATGATTCTGTCATATGTTACTTGAATGCTTCCATATTTTTTTATTTTACTCTTCATATGACTGTACCGCCAAATGAGTGGATGTTTGACATGTTTCACAAGATGTATTCTACCTCAGTGTCTCACAATCGTTTAGATATTTGTCATGATTTCTGATTTTTTATTGTATTATTTTAATATTTTACACATATCTTAACATTTTTCCTGCATGCTAGTTTATACCGAGTCCGTCCATATGTTTGACTGTCTATTGTACTCCTCATGTAGAAGCCACAAAATTTAGTAGAAATATTTGGAATCCATAGTTTAGATATAGACTTGGTAGTTTAATATGAATGATTATAGATATATTTTTATCAAACCGTTTGAAAACACTGATGAAATGTCGTTTGTGTCTGTTCTTTTCGGCTAATGCATTCCTAGCTTGTGCTCTGTTAGTGAAAATAAATATATATGTATCTTGTGTACATGATAAACCTAACCGAACAATTACATTTTGTGTTAACGAATTGATTGATAGATTTTGAAACAGTTGCGTTTCTCCGTCATATATTGATATAATTAACGGACATAGTTAGGTAACAGCTCTAGGAGCTGCCCATTTCTTTTTATTTTAAAGTTTTAGTGACACATATAATGTTTACATACTTATGTCAGCATAACATTTATAAACTGAAGTTTAGCGGTAAAATTTAAAGTCATCTTCGCCTGTGTAGATATCTGTAATTAGATGTTTTACTAATATTGATTTTCTGTTTGAAAAGAGTTAAACTGAGTCATGTACATCAACGAATTGTAAATCATGAAAAATTACAAAGTTATTAAAAATAAAATGTTGACCTTTGAAATGTCGTTTTTAGAAAGAAATATCGCCTTAGTAAGAAATTTGAGATTGTTTATCTTGAATGAAGCGACACTAAAAGTGTATTATTTTTTGAAATTCCATGGATTTTTTAAAAAATTATTTAGAACTATTACATTAATTATTTAAGATTTTGTAGCTATCTAAATAACATTATCGTGGGTTAAAACATACCCTTATCTGATTCTACAACTGAAATGACTTACTAGACAAAACATACTCTTACAAAATTTTATAACTAAAAATACTTACTAGAAATTCTAGTACTTGTTTTATTCAAAGTAATGTTATTGATATAAAGCGCAATTATAGTTTTAAATGCTTCTATTGAAACAAAAAACGGAATTGTCTTTCGATTTAAAAGAAGTATTGAAAACAATAACCTATTGTGTCTCTGTTAGAATAACATACTTAAATAAAGTTTCGTGATTCCTTGCCAACATCGAGGGAAAGCAAAATTATAACTACTTGTGCACGGGTTCATTGAAATATCTACAAGACAATACTGCATTATACGGGAAAGTGTTTATGTAGCAGGGTAATCATTCCGCCGCTGACTACACATGTTCAGAAAATATAAAGAAATGTTGGTTTATTGTTTGTACAAAAACTAGGTTAGCGAATAAACATAAATGAATTCGGTGTCGGAGATAGGAGAAATAAAAACAAGCGGAGCATTGTTATTTCGGACAGGTATCCTCATTCATCAGCTTGTAGCTCTGCCATTGCACACCGGCTAGATTGCACGTAAGAAGCATTTGTGATAAATCCAAACCTGTTACTGCTGCAAAAACATCGGACAGTTATCGCGTCTGAGTGATGTGTGGGAGCTGTGCGAATATATCGCTCTACACATTAACTCTACTGCTGACCTCGTCTAATTGTTCAAAAGCGTTCAAGTGCACGACAATTTTCGTCACACGCACCTGTACCGAGACTTGAGGCGTTTGCTGCTACAAATAAGTGGAGCTGTAAGGGGGTGTAGTCCACACACATCCCGTCCTACAGAATCGCTATCAGGCGACCCACCCAACATTGACTATCGGCCTCAAGATAATCAGACCTTCTTAGATATCAGCTAGATATGTCACTTTGAATATTTAGAAAAATGCCAACTTTTTTGTAAGTTTGAACGCCCTTGTTTCGCTGGTAGAGTACTACATAGCCTGGCAGAGAGGTTAGACAGGCCACCTGGAGGTTTGTACAGGATCACAAGACAGAGAGAAATTAACCGGAACACATTCCGCCAGCCTAGCATTACAAACCTATCATATTTTGATGAAGAGAAATAGCTTTTGTTTGCCATCCTGCATGGATACCATTACGTGCATACTTAGCTGTAGTGGTAGGATGACTGTTTCCCGGACATTGCCTTCCTGTTTTGATGGGAATTCTGTTTCAGATCACCTTATGAGACTGTTTTGGTAGCACGCTTTTATCGTTACATTTAATAAGGTTCACATGGTGTATCATTAGTATGATAACTAATCAAAATAAGATACCATAAAATCCATTAATGTTGTTTAAGATCATGTTATGTTTATATACGTCGCACATTAACAGTCGTCAAAGAAACTCCTCATCATCACTTGAGTA